ATCTATCTATCTATCTATCTATCTATCTATCTATCTATCTATCTATCTATCTATCCTTGACAACTCACAACTACTCAAAACATCTAAATTTCTAGAGCACCCTCAATGCTGTTCGAACCAGACATACGAGCCACAATGCTGGACTTAATACTATGTCAGCCGAGGATTCTTAAACTCTTGCTGTTCCCGTCCGACTTGCGGCCTCTATGGACAGACCGTTTCTCTCCCCACGGCTTCCTCCAATAAAGCCCTCCGCACTGTCTCCCTGTATGGCCGGGCGCGCACTTGTCACCGCTAGCAATAAGATGAGCATCGACCCGCGCCGGCTAAGAAAGCACACGTTCCTGATTAGGTCAACACACGAAACCGGACACAAGTGCCACAAACTGAGTTAGCGCGCAGACGCACGGGTCACGTGACAGCTTCTGGCCATCCCCATAGCGCATTATACGGCTTCGCGGAAAATGAAATTTCATTTTGATCCGCGGAAAATCGCTTGGAATGAGCCGAATGGGATTTAGATTACGACTTCCTTGTTTACAATTGAACAAATTGGCACCGCTTATTTTGTTAGGGCTTAAAGGAGTCGGCGTGATGGGACGAGCAGGAGGGATTTCCCCATTTCTTGGAGGGCCCACAGGCCCGGGGCTGGGAGAGAAAGTCAACTTTTTGGTTTCAATGAGGAGCGCTCTCGTGAGACCTGCCTGCGTCCTTACATCTCCTCCATCGATTCGCGTTGACAAAGTAGTCCGAATTATGTAAAAATCTCCTTGATTTCGTTTGCACTGCCGTCAATTCCTTCGGTCCCAGAATTTTTCTATGGAGGAGACACTTCGGTCCAGAATTCCCGAATTTTCCTGACCAGGCAGACATTACTAGCAATAGATGTTTGTGCTAACACACATCCTTCAATAGCAGAACTCTGCATCTACAATAATTATTGCACTAAATTGTAGATTTTTTCCCCGTCTGACCTGCTTACGTCTTTTTGCCAGTTTAAAATGCAAACGACGCATGTGTATGAAATGCAGAATCCTTTATTAAACATTCCGGTCTGTCATATTTTAGAACTAACGCTCAACATTGTTTGAAACTTATGACAAAGAAAAAGACTTATATCAGAATTAACATCCTGGGTAAAGGACTGCTTGAAACAAAATTTCCGATAGTTTCACCTTTTAAATCTTTCCATCACTTAAGCAAAGCCCTCTTTTTTCCCACCCACAAATTGGAATGCTGAAATTGAGACTGACCAATTATATCTTGTGTCTTTTCTTCTTCATCTAACTTTTGTCTGTCTGTCTGTCTGTCTGTCTGAATGTCTGTCTGTCTGTCTGTCTGTCTGTCTGTCTGTCTGTCTGTCTGTCTGTCTGTCTGTCTGTCTGTCTTTCTGTCTGTTTTCCCTCTCTCCCACTCTTTCTTTCTCTCTGTCACTCTTTCTTTCTCTCTATCTACAACCCTATCCCTACATTTTTATAACCTCTTTCGGGATTTGAACCGACGTAATCCCAAACGTAGTTCTCCCTGTGTTTCGCTGTCTATATGTCGTCAGTCTGTCTGTCTGTCTGTTCTCCCCTCTTTTTCACTCTTCCTTTCTCTCAATCTGCTCATCTGTCTACCTATCCATCTATCCATCTATCTTCCTATGTCTGTCTGTCTATTTGTAGTTTGTTTATCAGTCTGCCCCCCCCCCTTCTCTCTCCCTATCTCCT